TAATTGAAGCCGAAGTAGACATTAAATAATGCCCATGGATTTTCCCTGTTAGCAATGAATTTCCGGAGAATGCAAAATCATTTATTGATTACTCCAAATCAATTTTTTCCTTTATTCTATGTACAGTGCGCAAACAAAAAATTTAACCCCATTAAATAACTTTTGAAATATTAAAAAATTCGTTCCAATTTCTCAGGAACTATTGTATATTCAGGAACTCAAATTTTGCATTTTGCCATGTGAAATTATGTATTTTTCAATAATGTGAAAAAATGTATACCTCAAGATTTTTTAGATTAATATTAGATTAAATGATATATATTTTTTAAAAGTTATTTTTTGCATGGAAGTGTCTTTAGATAAACGAATTTTATAATTGTGTCGTTTTATTATTGTTTTATAATTATGACGAAAAACGCGACAAATTAAATTAACATTAAGGGTCCAAACTTTTGACTGCTCTCCAGATCTAACTATTGGGACCATATATCTCCTATATTTTGAGGATCAGAAAACTGAATCCGTCTAAAAAATAGGGTATGTTTATTCAGAGAAAATACGTTTTTGTGTCTGATTTCGTAACTTTAAATATCACCTGCGCTTAATATTTAGCATATTTGAAGTCACTGCTTCGAAGCATTAAGATTAAGTTCTAAAACGAGAAGATAAGACCGTTAAATCAAAAATTATTCAGGGTGTTCCGGGTTTTTTTTTCTCCGTACTGTATATATATTATATTATTAATAGCTGGAACAGCATATTTTAATTTAATTCAGTGTAAGGAGTTGATAATTTGGGCAATATTTCAGTATCTAACTTCTCTTAACTATTTAAAATAATAATAAATAAACGCAGTGAAAAAACTACTCCTTATGGCATGGAAATTAGATTTTGTGTCATTCTTCTATCTTATAGTTTCTTATCTAATCAGTGATGAATATATTGAATAAAGCTTTCTTTCGATCAAACTTCCCCTTTTTAAATTATTTAGAAAAGCAGTTTAAGTTTAATTATTAATTTTCTTTTAAAAGCTAAATGCATTGAATACAGTTTCTGTAGTAGAATTAATTTACTTTCCAAAATTGTAAATAAAATCAAGTTTAGGTTAGCTAATTGTTTTCTTTTTAAAATTATCTGGAATATCAGTTAAAGTTTAAATATTTGTTATCTTTTCGTAGTTGAATTCATCGAATAAAGCTTGTGTAACTGACTTTTCTTTTCTAAATTGCCAAGAAAATCAACTATTTTACTAATACGCTTTTTTTATTAGGATTGCTTAGACCAGTGATTCTCAGCCTTTTTTTTGTTGCGGCACACTTTTAACGACTTCGAAATTTGACGGCACACAATGAAAAAATTAGATTAAAAGTTGTTTAATTACCTATTTTACACTGTGTTAAATAGTTAGCGATAATAATTTCGAATGTGAAATANATACGCGAAAAGTAAAATTAACATTAAGGATCCAAACTTTAGACCGCTCTTCAGACCTAACTATTGGGACCATATTTCTCAGATTGGGAGCATATATCTCCTATATTTTGGGGGTTAGAAAACTGAATTCGTCGAAAAAATAGGGTATGTTTATTCAGAGAAAGTACGTTTTTGTGTCTGATTTCGTAACTTAAACTATCTATTTAGCACTCAATATTTAACATATTTGAAGTTACTGCTCCGAAGCATTAAGATTGAATTCTAGAACGTAAAGATCCGATCTTTAAATCAAAAATTATTTAGGGTGTTCCGGTTTTTTTTTCTTTGTATATATATTATATTGGTAATAGCTGGAACAGCATGTTTTAATTTAATTCAGTGTAAAGTTGATAATTTGAACAATATTTCAGTATCTAACTTCCCTTAACTATTTAAAATAATAATAAATAAACGCAGTGAAAAAATTATTTCTTATGGCATTGAAATTAGATTTTGTGTCAATCTTTTATCTTATAGTTTCTTATCTAATCAGTGATGAATATATTGAATAAAGCTTTCTTTCGATCAAACTTCCCCTTTTTAAATTATTAAGAAAAGCAGTTTAAGTTTAATTATTAATTATCTTTTCAAAGCTTGAATACAGTTTCTGTAGTAGAATTAATTTTCTTTCCAAAATTGTAAATAAAATCAAATTTAGGTTAGCTAATTGTTTTCTTTTTAAAATTATCTGGAATATCAGTTAAGGTTTAGATATTTGTTATCTTTTCGTAGCTGAATTCATCGAATAAAGTTTGTGTAACTGACTTTTCTTTTCAAAATTGCCAAGAAAATCAGCTATTTTACTTATACGCTTTTTTTATTGGGATTGCTTAGACCATTAAACAATTAAATCTTTCATTTCTATAAATTTCTACGAATATTTACTTAGGAACACACAAAAAATTATTTAAATAATTTCATTTGTACTATAACTCATAACGAATTCAATTAAACTACTTGAAACATTTTATTTTCCCGTCTCTAAAAATTCCCAAACTCCAGGTGTTAAAGCCCAACCAATTATATCCCAGCACGTTTCCCAACTTTGCGTTTATGCCTTTCCACATTTATTTAAATCGAAATTTACAGAGAACAGCAAAAATCACTTATACACGAAACCTGGAATTTAAATAACTAGCAAATCCCAAATGTAAATTCCAGTTTAAAAAATACAAAAAATCGGAAAAATAAAGCCCCCATCTTGCTATTTGTAGCAGGAAAAAAATGATTTTATGAGTTATAGATGTTCTCCATTGCCGTGTGTATACATACATATTTTCGGAGACGTATATATACGTCATCCTACTTTCAAATATCGATTCTAGCTAAACCTTCTACTACAAATATTTTCTTCGAATATAGAAATTCATGGAAAAAGCACATATTTCAGGTAAAATATTTATGTCCTCCCCCCCCATCGTCTTCTTCGCCTTTTCTGAGGGGGGGGGGGAGGTGCTCGCACGTAAAGCAATTCGTTAAAATTTATGAAGTAAACAATTTTTAATATATTTTTTTTTCATCGTCTCTTTCACTGCTGTTTTTCACATTTGAAAGATGAGAATTTTTTTTTTCTTTTTGCATTTCAGTTATTCTTCTTATAGGTTGTCCATTTGTTTACTCCTGTTTGCAAAAAGGGATTTTTCTATTTTCCATGTTCTTATACTCGAAAAATAGATGGAAGCATCGCGTCCTTTTTCTTTCTAAGTGGAACATGAATTCTAAACTAGGCTCACTAAGAGCTTTCCGGAAAAAATTTTCTTAAGTTCTTTTATTTATTTATTTATTTTTTATACATTTTCGTGATACTCTCTCGTTTTCCTCTTCTATCTTCGGTTGAGTACAAATAGTAATGAATACATTCAGTTTATTCCGGTTTTTTGAAGAAATAGTTCATCCTTTAATTTTTTTTTTCCATGTGGCGGAATGGTTTACGAACGCACAGCTTTTAAACCGTAAAGTTTTTTTTTTCTGGTATCTTTATTTATGTACTAAACATATGTCTATACGAACTGAAAATTTAATGGATTGCTTTGAAATTTTTGCGAAATAATGAATTGCATTTAATGCAGTTTTAAAGATTGGGAGGTTTATTTTTCGTTACCCATTCAAAGTTCCAACAGTTTTGTTAATATCAACTTACATGGGGAAAAATATTTTTTCAATTATCGTCAAAGAATAGCATTTGTGAGTTTTATTCATTGCTAATAATATTTGTATTACTTTTTTCGCTACCCCATTAATCAAACTATTATTCTATTAGTATTTCAATTTAATAAATGTGTTTCATTTCAATGAAATTCAATTGATATTTTAATTCCTTAATAATAGCAGGGCAAAACGAATAAACTGATCCTAAATTTACTAATTGAAAATATAAATGAATAAAAGTGATTTGTAGAAGTTTTTTAATTCTCTTTCGAAACAAGTATCAAGAGTCCAACAGAATTAAACAAACTGTAATTAATTACAAGCAATCGTAATTACCGATTACAATTTGAATCGTGAAGCATATAATATAATTTTAAAACAATTGATTACAAACAATCACAATTACCTATTTCAATTTAAATCGTGAAGCATGTAATACAATTTTAAAGAACAATTGATTACAAGCAATCATAATTACCGATTACAATTCGAATCGTGAAGCATATAATACAATTTCAAAGAAGAATTGATTACCATCAGCAATCATAATTACCTATTACAATTTGAATCGTGAAGCAAATAATACAATTTTAAAGAACAATTGATTACAAGTAATCACAATTACCGATTACTATTTAAATCGTTAAGCATGTAATATAATTTTAAAGAACAATTGATTACAAGCAATCGTAATTACCGATTACAATTTGAATCGTGAAGCTCGTAATATAATTTTAAAGGACAGCCACAGTTACGTATTTACAACTAATGTTGAAATACTTCATTAAAAGATAATAATTACAAGTACTTAAAATTAATCTAATCTTGATTAAAATTGTTAATTTTGGTTACAAGTAGTTATGATTACACGTAATCTTGTTTATTGAAATCAATACAATTTTTACCTCACTCCATGTAACAACTCCCGGTTTGCACTTACTATTGGGTTAAAACAAGACATCCATAATGTTATACATATTATAAAATAGAGTCACACTGTCCACAGGCTACGGGAGATATTTTCATAGTTTTCTACTCTATGTAACGTAAGTGTGAGAAAGAAATCTCGGAAGGCTAGTTTGTCCCCATAATTCTCCTATCATTTGAAATGCCTATAAACGAATAACATTAATTAGTAGTTTCTGAACGGTAATTGAGTTATTGTGATTAAAAAAATGGCTATTTGTTGGATGTTTTGTATAAAAGCGACAACTGTGTCACAGCTTTCATGCGTATATAGAAATACATTAGCATCATAAAACAAATATTGTTTATCTTTTTTTAAAAATTATTATAGAGTAGTATTGTTTACTTACTTATAGGAGATTGTCTTTTCCTTTATTGTTTACATTTAAGTAATATTAAACTTCTATTTTCAGGTTCAGAATCGACAACACAGATCACATCATTGATGTGAACAAGAACAATGGACCGTTCGAATATGATCAAGTGAACATCATTTGTCCTGTTTATTCACGTTCAAATCCGGGTACTTCAACGAGTACAGAAGGCAATGAAGATGAAGAGCAGTATATCATTTATAATGTAAGTATTTTACAAAATTCTAGCAACAGTTAAATCTAGAACTGAGATTCATGCAGGAGCAATCCAAATTACTATTGAGTAAAATAAAAAGCAGTATTTTCATCTCGATCCTCCTATTATTAAACATTTTTGAAAAGTTTTTATAGCAAGATAAAAATCTTTTTTTTTTTTCGGCTCTTAAACTTAGTCTCTTAGGAGAAAGGTTCCTAACGTGAAGCACTCTTAAAAATAAAGATTACAACATTACAGTTATAACGATTACAGTGGGAAACAAATTTGTTTTCTGTTGCATGAAATTTTTTAACGGATCTTAGAAATTTTGATTTCAAATCTACAATTTTTTTCGCTCTCCAAGTTATAGATTTAAAAAAAAAAAACACTTTTAGTTTACTTTTTGTCTAAAGGTACAAAAGCGTTTTATGTATCTGGGAGTCACATTAATATAGCAACAAACTTCTAGGAGCGTTGGGTCACACCAACAGGATTAAAATTGCGTAAGAACTCATGCCCAAAAATCACCTCATACGCCTCTAGGGGCACTTTCATGTTCTGAACTATTTCTTAGTGTACTTCTGAATAGGTCGTATTAGAGAAGTACCCCTAGCAGCGCACGACGATATTTCTGGGCATGCAATTTTAATCCTATAATGTTCTCTAACTCTCCTAGAAGTTATGTCGCTACATTAATGGGACCTCTTTTATATATAACGTTTTTAAACTTGTATAATTCATCAGAAAAGTAGACTAAAAATGTTATTCCAGATAGAAAAAAAAACTGTAGCTTTAGGAGCAAAACTAATATAAAATTTGAAATCCCCACACCCGAATTAGGCAACATCAAGTATTTGTACAAATGCGACAAAATAAAAATATTCCCCAGTATTATCTACTATTATATTTCATTTATTACATCTGTTGTAAATTTAACCGATATAAATCATTAAGTTTGAGCTGTGTGTAAATCATCATAAATATTTCTAAACTTAAAATTTTTTACTTTATTCCATGTTTCAAGTTTGCTGTGTGATGTTTAAATCATTTTAATAATTCTCAACAAAAAAAAACTTTAAAACCATATCCTATTTTGACATGTACTGAAATGTATTTTAATAATTAAGTATTAAAAACAGGTATTTTGCATTCTATATTTATCAAAGACGATCATTAGAATATATTTAAAATTATTGTTGTCGCGTTACTTACAAAATATCGATATTTCTATTTCGCCAGTTCTAGTAAATACTATTAGTAGGTGATTATGTATACTAAATGTTGTGTTTTCTGTCCTTAGGTATCGAAAGAAGAATATGATTCTTGCAGAATAACGAATCCTAATCCGCGTATCATAGCGGTCTGTGATAAACCTAATCAGCTTATGTACTTCACTATCACTTTCAGATCATTCACACCTCAACCTGGAGGTTTAGAATTTCTCCCTGGACATGACTACTACTTCGTCTGTAAGTCTAGTTTCTGTTCCTTTTGTCTCATTTACGAGTATTAAGGCGACAACTGCTATACAGTGAAACCTCTCGGGAACGACCACTCTCCGTTCCATAGTAAAATGGTCGTTCTTGGAGGTTACCTCCATTGACTTCATATTTGTTATCAAAGGTACATCATTTTTCGCGCACGATTTTATTTTTAGTCAGTGTCATCTTCTCAGTGCGGAAATGCCACTTATGTTGGCGTCTTGAAAAAACGGGTCTATGAATAAAATTTAGCGTCATTAAAGATGATGCCAACTGAAATAATTATGTGTAAAAACAAATTCGCCAGTTACAAATGATAAAGCTATTTTAAATAAATAAACAATTATGTTTTTTGTTCAAGTTTGCAGCTAATCAGGGGTCTGTTTAGAAGAAATTAGGGTCCGTCAACGGACCCTTCACAAAATATCTTTTCATAAAAACGGACCCTTCACTAAATATTTTAACTTAAAAATGGACCCTTCACGAAATGATTTTTCTTTTAATCGGACCCTTCACAAATTTGTTTATCTTCATTATTGTTTTGTTAATTGAATAAACCCTTGCCGGGGCAGAAAACAAGAAACATGGTTGTAAACGAATTAAGTTTTGTCTTCGGCAGACGATTCTTCCATTATTCGTCTGAAATGAATATTCTGCGTTCAGCAGTATAGGCTAAATACCAAATATTTGTATCTCTAATTTAGAAACAGCAATTGCTGTTTATTTTTGAAAATTTAATTTTTTTTATTACAATTTTACAGTGCTGAGCATAATCTTGTATCTATTTACAATTGAATGACTTATTGAAAAAGTTTTTTGCAATAACTGGACCCTATTTGCACAAGTTCATAAAAGCAGGACCGCTGTTGAAAGAATGGGAGTAATTTTTTCACAATTTCACAAAAAACCGGACCTTTCACAAAATGTCTGGACAGATCCCTGATTTAATTTTATATCATGAAAATTAGTTAGCTTTAAACGATGAAAAGAGGTTTGTTTGAGATACTTGTTTTTTACTAAAAGAACTTTTTTTTCTTCTAATTTAACTTCCAACTCTAAAAGTAAATCGTTAATAACATCGTCTTTAGTTCACTCTGATTGCAACATGAGGTGATTGCAATATTTTTCAGTGTTTCCTTATTTGACTTTTTCCGCTTTTGGTGCAAATGTTTGCCCGGTCTGTGGGAGAGGTTTTAATGGTCTCTCCTAAAGGTTTTCTTTAACACAAATTCCGTGCCTCCCAAAAATGATCGTAAATAGAAGTGGTCGCTACATAGAGATGGTTTTTCCTGGAGGTTTCACTGTACTTGATATATTGCCTAAAATTAAGAATGAGAAAGCAGAATAATTTTTTTTTAAAAATGTGCTCAATTTTTTTTAAAATTTAAGGTAGTATATTTGAGGTAACTATGTATTTTGTTAATAAGTCTGTTCTGTTTGATATAATTAACCGAAGTAAACTTAAGATTAGTGCATAACTGTTAGACATCACTTAAATTTCTAGAGAAAAAAAATGCTATTGAATGAATTATCCTAAGAAACTGAAGCGAAAAGATGACTGTAATAAAAAAATTAACTCATAATATAATTTAATAACTTATTGATAAGAACTGACTCAGAACATTAAAATACTTCCTTTGATTTAAAAACTTATAAAGATGGTACCTAAGTTTTAAAAATCAAACGAAGTTTACCCGTCATCACAATGCTTTTAGTTCTATTAGCTTTTAATTTATTAATAAATGACGTCTTCGTATTCACATGCATAAGATATATCTTAATTTTAGAGCTGTAATTTTTATTGTCTTCTTTATTTTTAATAAGTTTAAATTCTCTTACAGCGACATCTACTGGTGAGCCAGAAGGTCTTCATCAAAGAGTAGGAGGTCGTTGTGCTACCCACAATATGAAAGTAATCTTCAAAGTTTGCTGCGGTCCTTCAAAAGGTATGTTAAATTGTGTAATTGTTTCCATAGTTTAAAAACTCATATTTGTGAAAAACTATGAACTTTAAAAACATTTAAAAAAAGTGTTCAACTATAACAATCAACACTGTTAAAAGTACAAACTTCTAGCTGTTGAAAACCTAATGTCATGTAAATCTGAGTGTAAAAATTAACCGATGTAATAGTTTTGATTTAGACTTAGAACTCTTAATTATGTGATTAAACTTAACCATTATATAGCTAGGGCCGGGATAGCCTAGTTGGCAAGGCGTTGGACTCATATGTTCGTGAAAAGGGGCGTTTGAATCCAGCCAACCGAAGTAAATGGTGAATGGTGCACGTTAAATATGTCGGACCACAAAGTCCCCCATGTTCTCTTAACAAATTATACCTCTGGGGGTACTGAAATGGAGATAGATCGTTCTCTGGTTCAGGTCTAAATTACGATCGGTGGATAAATGTATGACTGGATGTAAGAATGAGTTCACTCTATAAACGGGCATGGCAGAAGCTGAATTCTCGGCCATAGATGGCGCCACTTGAAAACAAGAACAATCGCACCCCTTTCCCTAATGGCATAGGACAACAACATATAGGCTGAGATGAAGTGACCGACTTCGTATGTTTATATTTATCACCAAATGATGACCCTAAAAACTTTACCTTGTAGTTTTGTAGCAGCACTAGCCGATGGCTCTAAGAACAAAACCTAAACTTTATGACATTATAAAAACACGAACTGTCTTTTCTAAGGTAAAAGATCCTATATTCATACATAATCATAAGAAGTTCTAAAATAAATTGTATTCACTAATGATGATATTCTTCAGCTTCTTTTAAACGAAAGAGTAAATTATTTATTTCCAAATTTAGTACATTATTATAACGCTCATGGCGTAACTACGACTACAAAAATTAAATACCAATTCTCTAGTTTGTAAGACGTGTAAACTTAATTCTATAGATGTACCTTTTGATAGATGAAGTTTGATATAGTCTCTATTATGCTTCTCATAGGCTCATTGATTAAAACTGTTATTTTATTGTACAGGTGATGCTGCCACAGGAGGCTCTTCCAGCCACCAAACTTCTAAAGTGAATGTTTCGGTGCCGGTATCTGTTGCCCCGAATGTTCACAACACTTCATCTCGACCAATGGAAAACAATCCTTTCGATACAAACCAAATTTTCTATCCAGCCATTGTACCTTCATCTACTTACTCCACAGCAGTTCCAAGAGGAATACGCCCTGTACCAACTTCTAGGAGACCACGGCCACCATACTACCAGAGACCCTACGAAATACCCATTGAAGATGAGATGGACAGGTCGCCATCCTCTGACAAAAGTAAAGGTTTGTATACCTTACAGTGGTTAAAACAATTTTCACACCTAGGCATAATTTTTGACATTAGCATAGACTTGAGTCAATTATCTTCTCACAAATTTTTGCCTTGTTTATTACATTCGGGTCACAGCAAATGATGAGAGATAAAACACTGACATTACCAGAGATAACCCAGCCTCAAAAGACAAGGTTGCTATATGAAGCGTCTTCAAAAATTTTTTTTAAGTATTAGGTAACAACTTCGGTTGGGAACTAGTTTAGTTATATTACCGTGAATGACCGAAATCAAAAGAATGTCGACATTCACCGGTGAATGTCAGCAATCACCTAGTTGCTTTGGTAAATGTCAACAATCACCTAGTCGCTTTGGTGAGTGTCAACAATCACCTAATCGCTTTGGTGAATGTCAACAATCACCTAGTCGCTTTGGTGAATGTCAACAATCGCATAGTCTCTTTGGTGAATGTGCGAAATATTTGTTATATCCGACTTGATATTAATCTATTCGGTTGATATTATTATATTTATTCGATATTTTAATATCTGATGAGGATAAATTAGGAGAAACATCCGTACTCGGAGTACCGGTTAAATGCATACTTGGTAGTGGCACTTGACCTTAAAAAAACTTTAATTACTGATTTAAATAACTTGCTTAATAAATACTGGTCGGAAATACTTTGGCGATTCGTTATGCATTATTTTTTAGATATCAGTTATAAACTTATACAACTGATTATTGCTTCCAAGCAACCGGCCCTTTTTGTATCAGATACCTATCAATCTTAATTATTATATTAGTAGCTGACCGGCCTGTGTAGAGTTCAGGGAACTGGTCTTGAATCAGATATGTTCTGGATTCGAATCCCGGGCAAGGCATGGATGTTCTTTCATTCTCTGTACCATCTGTCCTTACTGTGGGAGCAACGTTGGCCCACCTGATTTGGTGCCCCTGAAAGAGTAGCTAACAAATCTGCCCTTCAGATGCGTGTATGATTTAGGTCATTCCCAGGTGGGCATTGGAAACAAATATTAATTAATAGAAGAGATGAAAAAGTATAAAAGCAATTAAATAAAACTTCCATTGTTTATAGATATTAGATCTAGTTTTGATGATGTTTTATGCGATTGAAATGCAGTTATGAGAATTTTAATCTTAAAATCAAACGGTTGGTAGTTTAAATCAATCACAAAACTACAAATATTCTACTTGCAATGAAATAATAAATATATTATTATTCAACGGAAAGAAAAGTTTTAGCATTGAATAGTTGATTAAGACCAACTCACATAGCAATTAATTGAATAGTACGTATCAATTAATTCGAGCCGTAGTTAAAACCACCGATTCAATTTTCCAATACTTTTTGAATTTTTTTTCTTTTTTTTTTTAAAGCCAAATATTGAATATTAATATCTAAAAAATTGTTCTCTTACAGAAGAGGTTGAAAAACCGAAAAGGGAACAAGCAAAGAATGAAGAGCTAGTGAATTCAGCCCCTGCTACTCTAAGGTGGCTCAGTCCCCTAGGAGCTTATTACTGTTTTGTTGCCTGCTTAATTTGTCAACTTTTAGTTGGACTACAGTATAGGTGAATGTACTCACGTGGACCATCCGCGATTCGTGGACCAGTCACTACTACATCCCCAGTCGCACTTTGTGGATCCAAATTTTCATGCAAGGAGACCTCGCGGAGATCTAGTTACTTGTGGACAATGAATGTGTTACTTGTGCGTGTGTCTTCTTGGCGATGCCATTCGTCGCTACATCCGGTGTGTTTACAAAAAAGGAAAACAAAAATAAAAAAGAGACTAATTTTATTTTGTGTCCTCGATGTGCATGGTTCAAGAGCTGAAAAATAAGTCTCTTTTTGAGTCTTTTTATTCTTGTAAAGAAAGACTATTCAACAATATTCGCGGACACCTTTGGACTATCCATCAAGATCCGCGAACATCTGTGTTTATTGTTTGTGTGTGTGTGTTGTGTAAAAAGTGCCATCGGGTGATGACTGCCTTCAACAAAGCTCGGATACTTAATTTGTTGTTATATGTTTCGTTTTTTGTTTTAATTTTTATCTGACCAGACCGCGGCCAGCCGAATTGATTAAGTTCCAAATGTACTTGCCGAGCTTCTCCTTGAACAACAACCTGATGTCATCTCGCATCACGATGGTATTAATTTGCTGAGCTTAAAAAAAATACCTTTAGGACTTTGACAGCACGCCTAGCGGAGTAGTTCCATTTGATTTCGTTTGTCTAGAATTCTCTCGTACTAGCTCGCACACATTTATTATTTATTAAAGCTTTTACCGTGATTAAAGTTCTAAATCTGAAAAGATAATTATTCTGAATTATTTTGGGAGCTTTTATGCTTAGTTGTTTAAATAAGATAATGCATTTTATAAAATTAATTATTCGGAAAATAAGTTTTTTTATGCTATCTTGAGCCCATTTGGAAAGTACTAATCAATGACTTAAGTTCACTTAAGTAATGTTAAGTAATGACTTCAGTTCATGATAGCAAATTAAAACAGAGAACTCAGTGCCGGACCTCTTATGATCAGGACCTCCCTGTGCATAACACAAAAAATCATAATAGCTGTTCTCGCTTATTTCCATTCTGGGTGTGATTCTCTGAGTTTCGTGAACGCCCGGTACACGTCCTTTTTTTATGGTGTGTTGTTTAGGAGAACTCCTCAGGACATCAGTCTCGCGTCGTGGCGGCTACTATGGTTACGAGGAAAAGCCACTTCAAATAGATGTTTGTGGTGAATAATTTTGTCTTAATCTTGGCATAGATCGGTGAGAGTAAACCTATCGACACCTTCATTCCTCCATTGCATCCCCATTAGAAATGTGCTCTCGCTTGTTACTATAGCAGCAGACAGTCCTAGACTTTTAGTCTGGGGGAGTTCTCCTTAAAGCCGCACAGTACAGCTTACTTGAGTGATACTTCTTCTGTTACTTGAGATTCTAGAAGAGTACCTAAATCCTTATTTTAAGGAAGCCAGGCAAAATTGCTCTGATTGAGAAAGGAGTTTATGTCCACGGCTCGTTTATACAAATTGCTCTATAATTACTGATCTTAATATTTATATTTTGAGTCCTCATCAAAAATACGGTTGGGAAAATGTGCACATTATGAGTCTCAAGTTAATATTCAAACCACAAAAAAATGTTGTTGAAGCATTTTAATAATCTTTCACTTTATTGATAATGATTCGTTACGTTTTGTTTTTTATCACTTAAATATTCATTTGTGATCCTTAATTTACATTACAAAGAGTTTTTACTTTATTTTTTACAAGAATATTAAAAATATATGTTAGAAATGGTGATTACGAAACGAATTGGTATTTATTTCAAATTTCAACAGTTAAAAAACTCACATTTTTTGATCAGTTAACAATTTTTTGATCCAGATTGAAAAAGGTATTCATTGAAGTGCCTAATGGAGAAATATGATTTAGGAACGAATTATAATAACGTTTATGAAACAATTATTCTGTCATATTTTAAATAAGGCATTTTTCGATGGGGAAAAAAATCTGATGTTTATAAACATTCTAACTTTTCAAAAGTCTCTTTAGTTTTTTATTGAAGAAATTACCTTCGTAAAACTTATCAAAATTAGTTCAAATTTTCTGCCATTGATATTAAAATATAAAAAATGAGCTAGCTAACGATGAATAGCCAACTGCATATGAGATATTGAATTCTTTTTTAATAGCAACAACTACGTCAAATGGATTATATTTACTAACTGCTCAAGATAGTGTCGGTTCTCGAATAGTATTTTTTTTCTTTATAATTATTTTTTTTTTGTCCAACGTACAGGATGTTTTATCATAAATATTAAAATATAATTTGGTGCAACTACAAGAGTTCACACTCTAATAGTGTCGTAGTTATTTTTGAATTTTAAGCTACATAAAATTCTTCGGTTATGACGCCATTTATCCAAGATAAGATATAAATTCCGCATAAACCTAATAAGATATCAATTCCTCATAAACCTAATAAGGTATCAATTCCACATAAACCTAATGAAATATACTAAATTTCACATAAACCTAATAAGATATAAATTCCACATAAACCTAATAAGATATCAATGCCACATAAAGATTGCCAATTTCCGATTTAAAAAAATCTAGGACTGATTTTCTTCATAACTAAAAGCAAAACTTTATTGTTATTTGACGCCAATAATACTAATTGTAAATTAGAAGATTGCATTATTTCCCTAGTTGTCAACTCAAGTCTTTATATATCCTATCAAACTCTAAAATTATTCACTACAAAATTACTAAAATTACTTTTGTTTGTTTGGTATAAAACGTTAGTTCTATAACACACTAAATCAGTTAGTTTTATAACATATTGCATTGATAACCAGTGTGTTCCATAATCACTGCCCTTAATACTAAAATCCCGACCTTAGAATCCTTATCAAAAAGATAGTAAAAAAATACATATGTTAGGATTCGCAAATTAATATTCAAACCCACAAAAAAATAAACCCGATTAAAATTTGACGAGTCATTTACAAGGAAGACGAGATTATAAGCGTCAAGACCTGTTTGATTGTCTGATAAACTATAAGGAGGAAGAAAAACGTATTATTTGAAAACACCATCAGGTTTCATTCAAAAATCAGACTGCTTTTGATGTTTTTAATCCTGATTTCCTCAATAGTTATTCGTTAAGTTTTTATTCCGTTTTTACAATTTACTAAGTTAAGTAATACAATGTGCATATTTATTTACTTCATTTTTGAGAAGGATTTTTAAAATATATGTTAAAGTCTGTGATTACAAGACACTTTGTATTAATGAGTGCTTAGAAAAGAAAAACGTTGATTGATATAAGAAAAAAAATAAGGAAGCCTAGGTTTACTACAGAAAATTCTTAAAGCTTTTGAGTTATATAATTTGCGGAACATCCTGTGTTATTAATCGTTTATTTATAATCAAGCTATACAGATTCTTGAAGACTATTCACTAACTTAATCAGATTCATGAGATTCGTATATCTTGTAGAAATTTTTTTGTGCGAGGCTGGCTACGGTTTTCCCAAAAACCTGTTTTGTGGAAATTTATTAGCTGTAATATTTGTGTCAATGCGATTCGGAATTAATTCGCATCTAAACAGTGAGATCTGCTGTATGATATTTGATGTTCTAAGTTTTTTTTCTTTTGTACAGTGTGCTATATATAAATAAATAAATAAATATATATATATATATAAGAAAAACTTTCTACGTAATTTATAACTTTTAAAAGATGTATGTTTTATTAGGAACATGAAGTGGCTTAAAAGCGCTAATAAAACTAAAGAATTTGTTTTCGGGAAAAACTATGTTTTTTTTTCCCAGAAAGACTTGCTAAACTATTTCCAACAGTGCCATGAACTACCAAGGGTTAAAAGGAATAAAATGGATAAAAGGCCTGATATTTATTTTATAAAAATGATACTGGATTGTATAATTTTTTTTTTATCTGATGAAATGTTGTGAAACAAGATTAGATGTTTAATGTGTCAATGTTTATAAGGTCTGTTTCAATCCATGCTTCACATAAATCAGTGAAAATGCCATTATTTATTTGTTTTGTGTTATTGCATCGCTTCATTATTTTGCTTAATTAATGGGAAAACAAATCACCTGAAGTTTTTGTATCCAACAGCTAACAACATGCTTATGACATCGCTGCATTTTTCACCTAATTATGTGGAGAGAAAAATCATTTGGAATTTTATATGCAATAACATCTTTATGACTTTGCAACGTTTATTAAAATATGTGAAAACAAATCTTCTACAGTTTTTATATGTAATGACATACAATAATTCTTATAATGCTGTGTATTATCTAAAAACAAATCATTTGAAGTTTTATATGCTGTAGCTTCTTTATGACACTGTAGCATTATTTTGTATCCACTGTAGCATTATTTTATATCCTTTAATATCCAGGACAGGTATTAAATACAAGTTTTTATTTGCTTAAAATTAAAATCCTGTTAAAAACTCTCTTCTTTTCTTCAAAAAAAGTTCCTTAAATATTTTGTAAAATAAATTTAATTATTATTTATTTTGCCTAAACAATATTTGCTGATTCATGTAAACGCTCTTTTTTATTTATAACGTTAGTCTTTTGAAACATTATATTTATTTCACTGTAATCAACAGGGTAAAATTATGATACTAGTTTTAAAACAGGGAACTAAAACACAAAAATAATTTTGAAGTGACTCTTTTAAAAAAATACTAATACACCTACTTTATTCCTAAATTTAAAATATAATAAAATTTGATTTTAAACCTATCATTTTATTTTATGAAATCAATTGTAATATTTTTTGAGACAAATTGTAAGTTTTAATCTTGATTATCATAAGTTAAGTTATGATTTATAAGTTAGATAAGTTATGATTTAATCAACATATAAATTTAACAAATTTTTAGTCAATTCCACTGCAATTTAATAGATATAACAAATTTAAATTCTTAATTTTTTTATTTGAACACATTATATTAATTTACCTAATTTTTAATTAATGTTAGCAATATAAATTAATTTTTGAATAATGCTAATAAGAAAACTTTTAAATTAAATTTAATTTATTAGTCTTTAAAAAAACGTTCTTTGTTAAAATCAGGTAAAATACTATTTTCTGTATCTATCAAAATTAAAGTATATATATTTTTCGTCAAATTTCGAGTCGTTGAAATTCATCGTGTAAATAAAAGAAAAATTATTCATGTATGTTTTTCTCTATAATTGATCAATTTAACCCTTTATGTGCACAAAACCCCGATATAAAAATCACAAAACACAAAAAAGTATTAGAAAAATCATTTGGAGAGCTTGGATCAATATAATGATAAGCCACATTTTGAGGCGTTTTAAAATGGCATGATATTTACTTATCATATGCTTTGATTTATTGCGGTGTTATCTTATAAAAATTCTATAAAATTGTAACATCTCATCTGGAATCAATACCCAAAAAAAGTTAGTGAGGAAAAAAAGTACATTTTTGAAAAAAGTGCAATTTAGCATTATATTGCCCTGAGATCTTCCTTTCTTTTTGTAACTTTATTATTGAAAAATTAATGTCACAAAAACCAATGTAAAAGCCGCGTTTTTGATATCCTTTTCCTGTTGTTTTTCTTAACCAGAGGAATAGCTAATGGAAGAAACTTTAAAACATATTCATAAATATGTTTTAACTTTTTCACAAATATATCAATGCAATGAAATAAATTTGATGCAAAAAAAGCATTAATGCAAAATCCCACAAGCTTTAATAAAGATGTTTTCAACAATTATCGTACAAAGTGTTTTAATTTACTGAACTTGGAGAAATTAGTATGAAATGCAGTTTATTAACATATTTTTCATTTTGTGCGATGTAAAATTCATACTGAAAGTTTGTTCTCATTATGAAAATTTTAGTTAGGCATTGTTAGCTAACCGAGCGCTCATCAAATTAAACAAAAACACCTGTGATTGCATATTATTATTTTCTTCATCATTTTCTGTTGTTGATTGCAAAGCTCTCGTTTCTATCATCTCTTATGTCATTAAAATTAATAAGTGAACTATTCAAAATACAGAGGTGTCTCCAAGTTTGACCCCTAAAAACTCATAACTAAGTTCTAATGCTTTAATGCCTTGACGATAAATTAAAAATTTTGTGGAATAAGAAACCTTCTTATTCTATTTGCTTGAAACCTTTGAAGTTAGTAATTTTGACATTACTTTTAGTTGACGTTTGGTGAATTTGCTTGCAGTTCTCATTTGTTGGACTGTTCTTGGATATAATTGAACAACAAATAACATAATATAATAACATAAACGCAAATCACACGAGAACTGCTTTAAATCGTTTGCTACGAAGACATATACAAGCAACAGAACTTAGCTATTTTATTAACTTTATGTACCACAGATCAAAAAATTGCTTTTAATCATCCTGTATTATCTATTGGAATTTTTTTTAATCATTTGGAAAAGCATTTATACTTTTCTTTTTATTAGTTCGTAAAAAATGGTGCACATGAAATGTCAATCTTCTTAAAAAGAGGAATCTGAAGTAAAACTAATAGTTTTCATTTAAACAATACAAACTTTTAAATCATTTTTCTAAAAAATAAAATTTCAAATGAAATGCACTAATTTAGGATCCAAAAAATTCTATTTTATTTAAAAATAAAAGTTAACACTCAATATTAAAAGAAGATTCCTAAAATACTTATTCGTCTGTTCGCAAAATTGCAAATCTGTTATTAAATTTTTTTAAAAATAAATAATAATAAAAATGTGCATCACATTTTTTGGGGATAATAAGTAATTTCTACAAAAATATTTTAAGGTATGTAAAGTTATTTTTATAAAAAAAACTTAAATTAATAATCTGAAAAATTTGAAAAATAGTTTTAACAATTGGGAATCTTCTATTACATAAATATGATAATTATTTGCTTTATGACGTAAAATCAAAATTATTAAATAATTTTCAGGCTATTGTTTAATTCCAATCTCATTACTTGTGGTTATTTTTCTGTTAAATAGAAAATAAATTTGCTAAATAAATGTTGCATCCCAATAATAGGAACTAGAACGCTTAGGTATAAGGTATGTACAGAAGTTCACCTTAAACAAGAACACCATATACAAAAGTTCTTATATCCGATAGAAAATTTCTATTAATTGTAATAAGATTAATTTGCATAAAAATAATTAGATTATTTTTTGAAGTTTAATGACTTAAGGCAATGAATTCCTCTTTATTTGAAAAGGTAATTCATTCATGGGTCTGATCGAGAGCTTTGCAATAGTGTTTTGTGAATTACTTTCATTGTGATGATATTGCGTCACTCGTGAATATTTATGTTTGTAATTTTTGTGTATACTAAAAACTTAAATTTCATTTGATGTACAGAAATAAGAAGGTACTAATTGCTTTGTGAGATTTGCTGCAGCATTGCTTTGATACATGCGGTGCTCGCAATGACATAAAAAGAATGAAAAAAACCATTCTATACATTTTTGTATCATCTCTTGCCATTGTAATTAAAAATTGTGTACAGTAATTTGCATCTGTTTTTATTTAACGGTATTCAATTTTATTCCATAATTTTTCTTCTTCATGCTAACGCTCAATCAGTGGTTGAAGGAAAAACTACATTATTTGTGTAGTTTACTAAAACTACTTTGGTACAAATATAGTTGACTACAACTACTTTTTTTAAATGCAGTGACTACAAACTATTTTGAAATTTATTAACTACTTTTCTTGGCCATAGATGTCGCCACAATGGCCAAGAAAGGTAGTTTTCTTGGACATAGATGACTACAAACTATTTTGAAATTTATTAACTACTTTTCTTGGCCATAGATGGCGCCACTGGAAAACAAGAACAATCGCACCCCCTCCGCCTAAACAGGCATACGTCAACAACAGCAGTAACTACTTTAAGGAGACGAACTTTACTGAAGAACGCTTATGTCCAAATTTCTTTTGAAAAAGAAATTCGCTTACATTAAATATAAGGGTAAAATTAAAAAACATTTATTCATGTTTACATGAGCCAGTTTGTTATTTCAAAACTTTTTTTCGAATTTGTTCATTTAACCTTCAGCTTTTTAATGTCTTTTTCAACAACAAATATTTAATTTAAGAAAGCGAAATTATCAAATACTTGCAATTTTTTAATTGTTTAATGCTCTTTTATTCATCTGAAAAATTAAGCACATCGAAAATACGTTCCTTTCCATTTAAATAACATCAATGTCTCACGAGTGTGCATTCGCATGTAAAAATGAGTCCTAAGTGATTAATTATCCATTTTTC